AGATGAAGACGGCCGCAACCGAAGAGCAGCAACCTCCAGCGCGAGGCACTCCCGGGCAAGGAACTGCCGGGCAAGGCACTCCCGGGCAAGGAGCTGCCGGGCAAGGCACTCCCGGGCAAGGAACTGCCGGGCAAGGAACTGCCGGGCAAGGAACTTCCAAGCAAGGAACTTCCAAGCAAGGAACTTCCAAGCAAGGAACTTCCAAGCAAGGAACTCCCGGGCAAGGAGGTCACGGACAGGAAGGTCTAAGACAAGGCCGGACCTCTGGAGCGGCGCTGACTGTTTTCAGCGTCTCTTCCTCGAGTGACGCCTCTTCGTCGAGTGAGGGTCCGGAGGCGACCAGTCATTCCCCTCTGCTGGCCTCGGTGCAGGCGTCGATTCAAGTACCGGCCCAGGCGCCAGTTCCGTCTACTGCGCCTCCTTTGCCAGTGATGACCCCGGAGGAAGAGAATCATATCCGAGAGCGGGAGCGGACGGCTATTTGGGATGCGAAATTGGAGTTGTTGGCGACCCGGGACGCTGTCATTGTGGATCCTCGTAATTGGTTTTCTCACTTTTGGTTTGACACTCATCATGTCGAGGCTTTTCTGAGGGCGGATCCGAATGAGTCTCACTATGTCATAGCGGCACTGTGCAATGACCCTAATCTCAGGGTAACTTGCATCACCCAAAATGTTGACAATCTACACCGCAAGGCGGGAATAGATCCAGACAAACTAGTGGAGATACATGGACGTATAGGATACTACAGATGCCTTGGTGAAGACTGTACGTATAAATCATACAAATATCTAGAAGCTCAGGACCTCGAATTCTTTTCAGATCAGGAAGAGGAAGCTTATTACTATCAAGTAGAGCAACTACTAGAACGTGATTACAGTCTGAAGAAAATTAAAAACATTTGTCAGAGATTATACGCCATGGACAAACATGTTGTCGGCATCAAAAAGCTGCCATGCTGTCCGGAATGTAGAACACCCGTCATCCCTTTGGTATGACATCACTCGCACACACACGCACACGCGTGTTATAAACCACACCCGTGTTATAAACCACACCCGTGTTATAAACCACACGCGTGTTATAAACCACGCGCACCACACATCTACAACTAACACCCAAAACATCTTCACGCTATAGACCCTATTGTTTGATGAAAGCTACACCACTCATGAAGAATTCGGGTTTGAGAAGGCATTAAAATGGATCGATGAGAGTGAAGTATTGGTTTTCTGTGGTACTTCATTCAGCGTCTATTTCACTGAGCACGCGACAGAATTAGCAAGACAACAAAAGAAAGAAGTCTTCAATGTAATTCTACTGGCCGGGACTGCCACTCGGGACTGGGGGGAAGGACGTGGCGGAATACCCGGGAATGGGGAACGAGGAACCAGGGAAGCACGACCACTGAGGAGGGGGGGGGGGAGGGGGGAACGACGACTGGATGGGGACGACGACCGGA